TCACACTGTTCGTGCAAATAGCTTATGTTTTTCTTTCTACCCATACTCCTCTCATTCCTACATGCTTAAACTTTCTTGCCTTTCCTTCTACTTACTTATCACTCTGATGGACTTTGATTAAAGTCCCTTAAAAACTGCACATATCTTATTTCTTTCTAATTCTGATCTGATACTTCAAGGATCCTCCTCGACTTGCCTTTTACCAATCACATAATCTAAATAATAAAGTATTTTTCTCTCTTTCTCTCTCCTGTCCACCTGATCCTCTGAGGCTGCTGTAATCAGGGAGGGAGGGAGAGGGGGAGAGAAAGAAAGCAGCATTCCAGAGTCTAGCTGCGGCCTTGGGATTCTACTCTTGCTACCTGGCTGCAAAGAGTTTCAAATTACACACGGATACTCACTCACACCACACAGACAAACACAGAACAGATACATGGTAATGACAGGGAGAATCCAAAAGCTCAGAGAGACTTGTCAGAAATCTCCTGCACAAATCAGAAAAAAAAAACTTTTTTTCATGGTTCTCCAGATCGAGTGGAGACCAGGCAAAATTTTCCTTAAGGTTTTGGAGACTGAGCCCCTCGAGGTATAGAGGGAGATTGGCCCATCCTCTTTGCCTATAAGCCTATAGTGAAGGGGTAGTGCCTCCTGTAGTCTACTCTCCTCCACCAGCATCCTGGAGAGGGAGAAAAAACTCGGAGAAGTTCCCAAACAAGGTGTCCCTTGTCAAGAAGGAAATCCAATAGAACCTGTTACAGGCTCAACCCAAAGCCCAGCAAGCCTTCCTAGGTGCTTGAGGGGTGACCTAACTACAGAGGGAGGGGAGGGGGAGGCTTACCTTGACTCAGAGAAGGCTTGAGTTTTCAGACAAGCACCACATTGGGTGCCATAAATGTTGTGGTCTGAGAGGTTGAGACCCCTCAAAGACTGGAGTACAGGACATGGTCATCTGGAATGAATTCATAGACTCAAGCATTCTTTTTCTGTTTTTGTTTTTGTTTTTGTTTGTTTTTTAGGCAATTGGGGTTAAGTGACTTGCCCAGGGTCACATAGCTAATATGTGTCAAGTGTTTGGTCTGAGGCTGGATTTGAACTCAGGTCCTCCTGACTTCAGGGCTGGTGCTCTATCCACTGTGACACCTAGCTGCCCCTCAAGCATTCTTTAAGTCAAGCTGGCAAAAAGTTTATTGTTATGCTTTTTAGCGGGCAAGGATTCTTAAGGAACCTGTGAGAGACTGAGGATGGAGCTAGGGTTTATATGGAAAAGAGCATGGGAAAGGAATGCCAGGGATACTAATTAGGTAATCTAAAGGTCCAGGTGTCTTTGGGAGCTATGAATGGGAAAGTGTAGGGAGCATACCAGACAGGGAGAGAGATGTCAGAGGCATGGATCTTGGGAATCTGGTAGGAGGAAGAGTCCTTAGGCCAGTCAGGGACAAAACTCCTTGGGCCAGACAAGACACTCCTCTCTCTCTGTCCTGATTAGAGAATGCTCTGCAACAAGGGAAAGTTTTCTCCCAAGACAGAAGCTTACTAAGGAATTGGGAGGCTTCCAGAGACATGATCTTAGGGCTGGGGCCTGAGCAGCCTAGCACTCTCTCACCCAGCTTTGTGTAGCTGCACCAGGGAGAGAGATAAAGGTCTTGCTGGGGTCTATTCATGAGTAATTATAGGCACAGTGTCCTTGGGCTGGGGAGAAATTTGTCAGAGACAGTGTTTCTGAGACTAGGGAGAAATTGGGGTCCAAGCACAAGCACAAGCATCCAAACACAAGCACCCAAGCACCCCATCACTACCAGGGGTAGATAGACAGTGAGAGTTGGAGGATGGCTCAGGTACAGCAGACTCTAGTGAAGAATTTGTAAGTTGGTATCTGCAGGCAGTGTGGTGTAGGTGGTAGAGTTCTGGACTTGGGTTTAGGAGGGTCCGCATTCAAATCTTGCCTCTGATGGTTAATAGTTATGTGACCATGAGCAAATGATTTGATGCCTAAGACTTAAATGGAAGGAATGTAAGCTTCTTGAGGTCAGGGACTGTTTCCCTTACACTTTGTATCCCTGGCACTTAGCAGATTTGATCTCCTAGGTTACAGATGGATTGTGATCTTCATTGCTGGAAGGAATTCTCTTACTTCCCAGGAAATGGATTCAGGGCTTCCTGGAGCATGGTGGTGTTAGGGGAAAAACACCTCTCTCCTTGAGAAGTCACAGTGTCTGAAATACCACTAATTTAATTCGGCAAACACATGTTAAGCATCTTTTATATGTAAAACAGTACCTGGGGTATGGACACTAGGGCATTGTCCTAGGATACTAAAATTTAGGGGACACTGACAGCCCTTGTAGAAACAACTGGGCTTAGCATCTAGTTAGCAAGAATAATGAGGTTGGCCACAAGGGAACACTTGTGCAAGGTCAAGAGTCCTCTTTCTCCAAAGTGTGACAATTAGCCAATTGTGGTCTTGGCAAGGCTCATGCATGTGCAATTGTTACCCTTACCCTTAGGGTCACTCTGTCAGGCTAGGCAGGGGATGCTTTCTCTGTGTACTGAGCTTTTTGACTCATGAGTCTTTCTAGTTTTAGAGTAGAGTTAGGACTCATATGTACTCTGCAACATTATGAAAATAGCAAACACATTCTCATTTTGGTTTTGGCCCCACTAGTTCCCCTTAAGCATAATAAATCTCCTATCTCTGGCTTCCTCCCTCCCATTCTTGCTCTGTACATTAAAAAAAAAAGAAACCAAAAAAAAAACCGAGGTCAAGGTGATAGCCATCAGGTTTTTATTTTAAGGGTTTAAATAGCATAAAAAATCTAAAGCAAACAATGAGATTGTAAGTGGCTCCAGAGCTGCCCAAAGTTGATTGCTTGGAGCTGCAATCATGAGGCGGAGTGGTTTGATCCCTTCTATTCCTTTTATAATGAATCAAAAGGGAAAGTAAGAGTTGAAGGACTGTATGATAAATGGGAAAATGATTTTCCCTCAGGAGAGATGGAGGTGGGTGGGGGGGAGAAATGTGTTTCTAACCAAGTAGGTATTCCTCACTGGGCTCAAAGTCTACCTGTCCCACCTTCCTTCTTCTGGTTTATGATTTGGTCTGGTCTATGACTTCTTCAGCTCCATTCTTCTCCATGACTTGGACACCATGATTTTCACTTGAGGTTCAGGCGAGAGCTACCAGCCATTACTTGGCTCCTTGCTTGGAAGGTTAAGTATAAAAACCTATATGGGGCCTCTCTAAGACATTTCTCCAGAGTGGTTCCCTCTCCTTCTTTGGCTGCCTTCTTTGGATTCTTCTTGGAAGTCTGTTCAGGGGCAAAGTCAAAACTGCAAGAACCTGTGGAATCTGGGTGGTCTACCCGGCTTGAAGACAGGTACTTTAGCCTGCCAAGTTTCTGTGTTAACTCTGAGAAGAAGAGTGAGCCTGCCATTGAGCACAGGGTCACACTAGTTAGTATAGGAGGCCAAGGCAAGCTTCCTTTCTTTCTCCATTCTCCCTCAACCCTTGGTGAGTTCCTACTGGTTCTGCCCAGCTCTATTCCTTCCCCTAGTGCCTGGCTTCCCCAAGAGCAGCCTCCAGGCATCCCATAGTTTTTTCCCTCATAGGACCTTGTAACCTAGGGTCTGAGGTCTTTTCCCAGCCCTTTCCCTTCTACCGAATTTATTTTTCAAAGCTGGTTTGAGGATGCCTTCAATTCTACTGACCTTGTGTGTTTGCCATTATTGCTAGTTATGGCATTACGCGTATAGACAGAAATGAAATGGTTCCTGGGCTTGAGAAGGTTACGTTTTACTGGGGAAACCCAACATGTAAAACACAGGCAAATATAATGTCATTTTGTGTCTTTCTGAAGGGACAGAGCAGCATCAATGACCATGAGAGACCAGGCAAGGCTTTGAGTCAGATATGGCATCTGAAATGAACCTTGAGGAAAGCTAAGGATACAAGAAGAGTGGGTGCCAGGGAGTACATTCCAGCCACGGGGAAGAGCCTGTGAAGAGGTAAGGAGATGGGGAGGAGGGAAAGAATAAGCATTTATATAGCCCCTACTGTGTGCGGGCACTGTGCTAAGCACTTTATAAATATTATCTCATTTGATCCTCTGTGACCCTGTGTTGTTGAGTCTGACCCTGTGTGACTGCGTTTAGGGTTTTCTTGATAAAGATACTGGAGTGATTTGCCATTTAGGCAAACAGGGCCACTTGACTTGCCCAGGATCGAACAGCTAGTAAGTGTCCGAGGCCAGATTTGAACTCAGATCCTCCTGATTCCAGGGCTGGTGCTTTATCCACTGTACCACCTAGCTGGCCTTATGACCCTGTAAGGTAGTTGCTATTATTATCCCTATTTTACAATTGAGGAAACTGAGTCAGACAGAGTTTAAATGACTCACCCAGGGTCACACAGTTAGTAAGTGTCTGAGCAGTTTTGATCTCAGGTTTTCTTGACTCCAAGTTCAGTGCTCTATCTTATTCAACACTTAGCTGTCTCTGTGATATGGGGGTCAGCAGGTAAGCCAGTTTACCTAGAATATGGAGAGTATGATGGGAAGTAGTGGTTAAGGTCATAGCTTTAAAACAGGGAGGCTAGTGAAATAGAAATAAAAGAAAAACTAGTGAAAAGTGGAGAAAATAAAATAAAATAAAAACTAATGAAAATAACAACAACAAACGAAAGAACCTTGGAAATGGAATCAGGAGACCAGGGTTTGATGCTGGCTGTGTGATTATGGGCAGGTCATCCTCCTTCTCTGAGTTTTATTTACCAAAAGGTGGAATACTCCTCAGACCACTTACCTGGTGTGGATTGTTGTGAGGAAGGTACTTTGTAAAACTTATTGGAAGCAGGGGTTATTACTCTTGAATTGCTATCACGTGGAGGTGTGAGTACTGGATTGGAAAGTTGAGAACTCTGGAAACTGACTTTCAGGAAGATTTGGCTTCCTCTAGGACAGAGCTGAGTAGGAAGTCAGTCCTTCCCTAGGGTGGAGCCAGAGAGGGCAGGCTCAGAGGCTAAAGGGATAAATAACCGCTTAACTCGAATAAGAGGACACAAAAGTGAAGAGCCAGATGCAAACCTGCTTTCCAGGTGAGCTTTGTAAGGGATGGGTAGGGGCTATACCTGATCTAGGACCCTTATGAAGATTTGTACCCACATGTAATTTCTATCCATAGTAAAAGAAGGTTCTCTCTAGGCTGAGGAGTGGCAAAGGGGAGACATTGAAGGTTTTCTTGAGCAGGGGGAAGGATTTTTAGCAGAACTGGGATTTAGGAAGATAGCTCTGGCAGTGGGGATAATGGGAGGCACTAGACTAGAGGCAGAGGGGACAGTTACAATAGTCAAAGTGAGAGGTGATGAGAACTAGGGCTAGGTTAGTGATACTGGGAGTGGAGAGAATGGGACTGAACCATGAACTGTTACAGAGGCTGAATTACTTGGAATAATGGAAATAGCCCAGGAACTGAGGCCAGAGGAACTGGGTTTGAATCTCCACTCTTCTGTTTATTAGTTCTGAACTCCATAGGCATATCTCTTAACTTCTCTGTACCTCAGTTTCCCTATTTGTGAAGAGGAGTTGACATATTCTTTTTTTAAAATTTATTTTATTTTTAATTTATGAAATAAATGGAAGTAAATTCTTAGGTTTCTTACAGTTCTAAATTCTCTGTTAAGTCTTAGCAACTGATCCAACATGGGATGGTGAAAGAAAAGTAGGAAACAAGACTGACCACGCTGGTCAGGGCTAGACTGCAGTTGAACTTGAATGCTGTCTGGTTTTATTCTCAGTGTTGCCATCTGTAAAATGGGAATAATAATCCTTACCTGTGGAGGTTGTGAAGAAAGGAATTTGTAAACCTTTAAGTCTTAGAGAAATGTTAGTTATTATTACTTTTCTGTTCCCCTTTTCTTGATCTGATTCCTGTGTTTGGATCTCTATTCCATCCCCCTCCCTCAACACGCGCACAGAGGAGAAGAAGAAACAAGAGAGGAGGCCTTTAAGGAGTTGAAGGTGAGGGAATAAAGGTGGGACTGGGCAGCCTAGGTCACAGGACACCAACCAAAGGGAGCTCCACAGTTGTGGAGAGGCTTGAGGCAGGCAAGCCCTATGATCAGGATTCAGATAGCTTTTGTGTAGGGAAGAGAGAGTTGAAGGGAACCTACAACAGTAGTGGGTTCTAGGCTGGGCTCTGGGGCTATTGGAACTGGGAGGGGAATCTGGTCAAGGTCTTGAACCTCAGCTTTCTCTGTTGTATATCCAGGTGAAGACAGTAGAGAACCATGAAAATTCTCATCTCTGTCTTGCTGGGAGCCCTGTTATTTGTGGAGTCAGGTGAGACCCTGGGACTCTGGATGGGAGATGCTAAGCCTTGGAAGGAGGCAGACAGATTGCTAGGATGCTCTCTCCATTTTCCCTAGTGATGTAAAGGAATCCAAGGAAGAGGAAGGATTTGAGGTTAGGGTCACGTTGGGCTGGGAGAGGATGGGCTGGAAGTTCTGCAAGCTTCAGCGAAGTTTGAGGTGTAGCCTGTGGAGAGAGAGGACCATACCCTGTAGATCAGGGTGGAGTTGGAGGAGGAGCAGCTGCTTTTCTGCATACAGCTGGGAAAGGGAACCAGGGGAGATGGGAATGGAGCCCTCAACATTTGCTGTGCTTTTGTGGGCTCAGATGGCATGCCTGGGAAATTCTGTGATTGTGCATGGTGCGCTTCCCTTGTTGGCAGGTGGTGTATTTGTGTGTATGTGTGTGTGTGTATGTGTGTGTTTGTGTCCCCGTGGCTAAAGCTTGGACACTTGGTGAATTGTTTGTGAGCGCTGTGAATTCTGCATTTGTGAACCCAGTGAGTGGTGTGAGTTATGGGGCTGGTGGAGGTGGGGTGGGCAGGCTGGGGAGTTATTCCCATCCTTAGCCCATTCTTGCAAACCTTAGGAAGCCTGGGGTCCAGGTTGTGGGGCAGGAGGCAGCTCTCATGCAGACTCTCCCTTGCTTCTGGGCTTGGGGATTTGGGGTTTAACTTGCTCAGCATCCTCATGGGATATCCCTGGGGTGCTGGGCTCTCTTCCCGGCAAGGTTGCTGCTCTGATCCATGTGTGCTCGTTTGCAGCTCACTGCCTGCAGTGTCATGCGTGTACTGTGGTCAACCATGCTGGCGTCTGTCAGACTAAGACGTGCTCACATGGGGAATCTACCTGCTTCAAGGTTCTGTTAACACACTCTGGTGAGTTCTGTTAGAGTTATGGCCAGGGTTCAGAGCTTCAACTATGGGAGCTTGGGACCATGGAGTGTGTAGGAGGTGGGAAGAGGGAGGGAGGAGGTGACTTTGAAGATATCCAATGTCTTTGGGCAGAATCCAGTCCTGAATCTCACAGCATTACAGAGTCTCAGAGTTGGTGAGGACCTCAGAGAGCACCCAGTCATACCCACACCTGAGCAGGCTTCATTACCTTCTCTAGATCAATTCCAATAAGGAGCCATCTAGCCTCCATTGAAGACCTCTAGGAGTAGTACTCTCCCTTACCCCCAGGGCAGCCCATTCTAGTACTGGACTGCTCTTCTTGGACATAATCAATCAACCAATGAGCGTTTATTAAGCACCTACTGTGTACCGGGCACTGTGTTATGGGTAGTGGGACTTCAAAGAAAAATGATCAAAATAGTGTTTTCCCTCAAGATGTTCCCTTTCTATTGGAGAAAACTACAATTGTAAATGTATACAGAAATATATGCAAAATAAATGCAAGGTAATTTAGGGGACTGGGCATCCATGTAGCACAGTGGATAGAGTTCTGGGTCTGAAGTTAGGAAGACTTATCTTCCTGAGTTCAAATCTGGCCTTGGATACTTACTAACCATGTGATTGTGGCTAATTAGTAAGACCTCTCTGAGCTGTAGTATCCTACTGAACTCACAGGATAGGTTTCAGATTCCAATAACAGGACTTGGTGGGGGTTAAGGAAGTAGAATGGGGCAGGTAGATGGCAAGGATAGAGTGCCAGGTCTGGAGTCAGGAAGACTCATCTTCCTGAGTTCAAATCCAGCCTCAAATACTTTCTAGCTGGGGGACCCTGAGCAGGTCACTTAAATCTGCTTGCCTAGGTTTCCTCATCGGTAAAGCAAGCTGGAGAAGGAAGTGGCAAGTGTCTCCAGTATCTTTGCCAAGAAAACCCCAAATGAGGTCATGAGGAGTCGAACATAACTGACCCAGCTGAACAACAGAAACGGTTTAGGAAGCTGGCCATTAACAACTGGGAGAATCAGGAAAAACTTCAAGGAGAAGGCAGTGTTTGAGCTGGGTTTGGAAGGAAACTGGGGCCTCTAAAAAGTGGAGGTGAGGAGAGAGAGCACCCCGTGGGGGAACAGCCAACACAGAGTGGGGAGAAGGAATACTCTGTGTTAGGGGAAGGAGTGTATGATAAGGATGGGAAAGGTAGGCTGGGCCCAGTTATGAAGGCCCTTAAATGCCAAACAGAAGAGGTTATAGTTGATTTTGGGGCCTTAGGAGTTTACTGAGTCGATGAGTGACATCATCTAACTCGTGCTTTGTTTTTATTCGGTCGTTTCAGTTATGTCTGACTCTCAATTTTTTTTTTTTACAAAGATACTGTAGTGGTTTGCTGTTTCCTTCTCCAGCTCATTTTACAGATGAGGAAACTGAGGCAAACAGGGTTAAGTGACTTGCCCAGGGTCACACAACTAGCAAGTGCCTGAGGTCAAATTTGAACTCAGGAAGATTCCAGATTCCAGGTTCTTCACTCTATCCACTAAGCCATCTAGCTGCCCTCAGTTCTTCAAATACCTAGAGGCAAGCCTTTTCTTCTCCAGGCTCTATAAACATCCCCAGTCCTTTTTTCTGATCCTCATGTCATATGGACTCAAAGCCCTTCATGGTCCTGTTGGCCCTCTACTGGACACTCTCCAAATTCTCAATATCCTTTTTAAAATTGTGGTATCTGGAATTGTCCTCTAGAATAGTCTAAAACAGTCTAGAATCTAGAGCAGTCCTCTAAATAAGGTCTAGTGAGAGCAGAGTACAGTGGGACTATTGCCTCTCTTTTTTTGTTTTGTTTTTTTTTGGCTAGGCAATAGGGTTAAGTGACTTGCCCAGGGTCACACAGCTAGTAAGTGTTATGTGTTTGAGGCTGAATTTGAACTCAGGTCCTCCTGAATCCAGGGCCAGTGCTCTATCCACTGTGCCACCTAGCTGCCCCTATTCCTCTTTTCTCCTGGAAGCAAGACCTCCCCTAACAGAGCCCAAGATTTTTTTTTTTTGGCTGCCCCATTACACTGCTGACTCTTTTGGAGTCTGCTAGGTCCAGTTTGGTTTTCCCCATCTGGCTGCTTTCCATCTTGTCAGTGTTGCTCAGTCAACTGAAAACTAAATGCTTACAAAGTTCCAGGCATTTTGCAAGGCTCACAGTAGGGATGCAAATACAAAGAAGGAAATGATCTCAATTCTCAAGGAGCTGACTTCTAATGGGGCTTTGGGGATCCATCCTCAAATATGACCTCTGTACCTGAAGACCAGTCTCCAGATTGGTCAACCTAGGGCAGTCTCATCAATTCCTCACCTAAGACCTCTGTGGCTTAATCAGGGCTGTGAAAGCCTATAGATCCTGCTTGCTTTTTTTTTTTTGGGAGGGGGAGGCAATTGGGATTAAGTGACTTACCCATGGTCCTGAAACCTTCCTTTCCCCCACCCTATTAAAGAGAAGTTCTGTTTACAATTTCAATCGGAGAAAGTAATTTCTTTGTGTCTTGAAGGTTTTTCAGTCTCTGGGAAACCTCCATTAGAAAATAACCCCCACCCCTGGGCTAAGCCATTTTCAGTTGATGTTTTATGGAACCCTGGATGCCCAGAGGTGGAAATGTTGAGGTTTAGGGATGCTGGGATCCCAAAATAGTTATGTGCAGGTCCTGCCTCAAATGAATTCGACCCAATCCTTCTTTCAGTCAAAGACAAGGTTTATTAGAACACTAGTCAGGCATGATTAAGAAGCCTCAATACTGGCCAGACTCTTAAAGAATCTGTGCACTTTAATGGAGGCAAGATGGATCTTGTATACAGTGGTCAAGGAGTGGGAAGATCTGGATGGGAGTTGACAAGTAGTCTGGGGTGATTGGGAGGTAACAGAGAAGGACCAGATGCCCTAGGCTAACACCAGGGACCTGGGCCAAGGGAGAATGGGGTCTAGATGGAATCCAGGGTTGGAAGTAGCAGGGGGCAATTGGAGGTAACAGACAATGAAGGGCTGGACTAGGTTAGAGGTAACAGAGAATTGGGAAATTGGGTTTAGGCCACAATGAAAGGCCAGCTGAGAGGATTACTGGGATGGATCAATGCTTCAGGCTAATGCCAGAGACTTGACCATGTGGGAAAATTCAAGGAAAAGTGGGGGGGGGGGGAGAAGGGTTTCCAGGGTCTATACCCCATAAGAAGGGACATCTGAGACCACTGAGACAATTTATTCAGGATATGCTTTTCACCTTTGATCATGATAGGGTCAGGCTATTGGTTCAGCTGTTTTACATTGGCAGTTAGCAAACTGTTGCCCTGCTCCACTATTCAAGCAGAAATTGTGTTAGCTAATTACAGTTATTCTGCTTCTGTCTCCTTGTTAATGATCTTAAGACATCTTCCTGCATCTCCCTTTCTATTAGAAGAGGCGTGCTTCACTTGCATTAGCTATTATGGGAACTTAATGTCTATTTGTAGCCTTGTTTCTACCAAAAAATATGCTCCAAGTTCCAAAAAATTGTCTTCTCAACACACTTTTGGAACACAAGCCATTCTAGGGTTGAACTAGACAATTTCTAAAGTCTCTCATGGCTTTGACAACCTGGTTCTATATTCTATGGTCCCCTCAAGCTCAAAAACCCCAATTTTAAGGTGACTTTCAGCTCTCACATTCTGGTTCTGTCTTCTAAGTTCCTTCCCAGTGCCAGTATTCAGTACAGTAAGCCCCTTAATATTTTGAATGTGTTCTCCACTATTCTATAGTTTTATTCTGGGAAACTCTCTGAGAGATATGGTCAGTACAATGGGAATTAAAAAGAGGGAGGAGTCAGCATAGGTTAAGGATGGTTATGGGGTGCTTTAGGGAAGAAGAGAGAACTGAACTGAGAAATGGGGGAAGGTAGGTGGAGTAGGTCCATCCTAAGAGGGGAAAATAGTGTGAACAAGGACTCAGAGGTAATAAATCTGGCATTTTCAGGGAATTGTTGTTCAGTTGTGTCTGACTCTTTACAATCCCATTTGGTGTTTTTTTTTTTTTTTTTAAATTTTAAAAAAATTACTTTTAGGCAATTGGGGTTAAGTGACTTGCCCAGGGTCACACAGTAAGTGTCAAATGTTTGGTCTGAGGCCGGATATGAACTCAGGTCCTCATTTCATGTTTTCTTCCCAAAAATGTTAGAGTGGTTTGCCATTTCTGTCTCCAGCTCATTTGACAGATGAGGAAACTGACACAAACAGGGTTACATGACTTACCCAGGGTAACACAGCTAGTAGGTGTCTGAGGCTGGATTTGAACTCAGGTCTTCCTGACTCCAGGCCCAGTGTTCTATCCACTTTGCCACCTAGCTGCCATCTTCAGGGTATAGTGGGGAGCTAGTCTTGGCTAGTGTGAAAGGTGAGTGTTAAAAAGTAAAGGGAGGTAAAAAGGAAAGAAAGGATCACACTGGATATGGATGCCTTAAATACTCAGTTCTATTCTATTCCACAGCCTCTAGAGTGAAATCCTATGTCAAGGACTGTACCACTTCCTGTAAAGATGTTAAAAGCTCACTTGCGATGCTTCAAATCCAAGGATTTAGTGTGCATGTGAACTGTTGTGACACTGATCTGTGTAATGGGGTGGATGGGGTCAGGAGCAACCTCTGGGCCCTGGCAGGGGCACTCCTCCTCAGCCTGGGACCTGCCCTTCTCTGGTTTGGGCTCTGAGAAACTTCCTTCCTCACCAGCCTCTTCTCACTAAGCCTTCCTTCTGATACCAAGCCCATGAAACTGGAGCTCCCGTGCCGGTCCCACCTCAGCCCAGCCTTCAGATTGTGAACTTTGACATATTTCCCAAGCCCTGGCATCCCCAAGGAATAGACAGGAAGCCTCTATGTCTCTTCCCCGCTGACCCTTCTTTTCTTCCTTATCTTTTTTGGAGGATTCCTCCTTGGTTCCCAGCCAGTCCGTTTCTCCCTTGTTCTAACTATGTCCCTAGGAAAGATTTTCTTCCTTCCTTCTTTTTGCTTCAGTATTACAGATCTAAGGTTCCCTGGGGAGGGTTAATTGTTAAGTTTTCTTTGAGGAGAGAAAAGGACCCTGAGTCCCAGCAAACAAGGGAGATAAGGTGAGCTCAGGCATCTGGGAACTGGACAGAAGACGGAAGAGAAAAATGAAATGACTTTGGAGACCAAAAAGTGGGACTTTATTTTGGCAACTTGGGGAAGGAAATTTTGCCTGGCCTCGAGGTAGGAACCAGAGGCACCAGAGAGAGAAGACAGAATCTTAGGACACTAGAGAGAGAAGAGCTTGGGGTTGGGAAAGGAATGGATGCAGGGGGCTGAACAGAAACCTCTGGGGCAGACATTTCTCTGAGCTGAACATAGCTGAGCTCTGTCCCTGGTATGTCTTAACCTCCCTAGCAATTGCATCATAAAATATAAATAAACTTATGAATAAATGTATGTCCTGAGGGTATGTATGTTTCAATAAACTTATGAATAAATGTATGTCCTGAGGGTATGTTTCTATCTAGCATAATTAATGCTTTGACTGTGGGTGACGGTGGCATCATAGACTTGGGAAGGGCCTTGAAATACTAGGACTGATCTAGGACTGTCAGCTGGGATGCATGACAGGAGGAGTCCATGGTAAAACCTGCTTGGGGCTTGCTTTTACTATCTAGAGATACCCAGGTGAAAAGGTAGTCCAGACTATAGGGTGTTTTGGGATGTAACCAACAGGTTAATTGTCCTATTTTTTAAGAAACATTGAAACTTGCCCTTAAGACAGTGTTTTGCATGGTGAGAGAAATTAGCCCTTGGTTATGTGGAAGGAAATTTCAGATGTGGAGTGTTTAATCGAATTTTAAAAAAATGTGCTAGGCACAGAGGGTGAAAACAGAAAAAATGAAATAGCCCTGGTTTGCAAGAAGCTTACAATCCACTTGGGGTGGTGGTGGTAGTGAGTGTGTTTATGAGATATGTACAAAAATACGTAAATACAAGCTAATTTGAAGGGGCAGGGAAGACAGAATAATAAAAACTGGGCATATCATAGAGTCTGCAATGAAAAGGACTTCAGGGACCATTTAGTACAATTTGTGCCTGAACAAGAATCTTCTCCCTGGATCATGTAGCTTTTGCTTGAAGATCTTCAGTGATAAGGAACCCATAAGCTACCAAGGCAGCTCATTCCACTCTTGCAGAGTTCAAATTGTTAGGGAGTTTTTCTTTATATCTACCCCTTCTACCCATTAGTCTAAGTTTATCCTTTTAAGGCCAAGGGAAACAAATTAATTAGCTCTTCCATATGACATCTATTCAAATACCTGAAGAAAACTGTCATGTCCCTTTAAGTCTTCTCTATGCTAAATATCCCTGATTCCTTCAATTTATCCTCATGGGGCACGCTATTCTATTCTGCACCAGAAATTAGGGGACTTAGTGGAGGACTTCATGAGAGAATTAGACAGGCCTGTAGTTTGTAAAGCAATAGGCCTAAGAGGTATCCATCCGTAAGGAGAATGAGTTGCCATTAAAGGTAGTAATTCCTCCTTCATTGGAAATCTTCGAGCAGAGGGTTGTCAGGATTGTTGTAGGAGGGGTTCTTGCTCAAGTTGTACTAGCTGGCCAGTTAGATCCCTTCTGACTAAAAATGATTCTTTGATTCAGAGTTTGCTCTTAGTCTAGTACATTTTAACGTACTCAGAGACCTTAAATAAGACATGAAGCAACAGATAACTAGGGAATACAACTGAGGAGGGAGCCAAGATGGCGGAGTAGAGAAAGTGGAGCTCTCCCAACATTCTCCTCCAAACAACATTAAAAACAAGCTTCATATTGAATTTTGGAGTGGCAAAGCCAACAAAAGGCCAGAGTGAGACATTTTTTCAGCCCAAGACCACATAGGAGGTTGGAAATAGAGATCTGTGACATGGAGGAGGAGCTAGTATGTTGTTAAAGGAGTGGAGGGCTTGGAATACGATATTCTGGAAGGCAAACAAGCTAGGATTACAACGAAGAATAACCTGCCCAGCAAAACCGAATATAAATCTTCAAGGAAAAAAAATGGATATTTCATGAAAGAGAACTTTCAAGCATTCCTGATGAAAAGACCAGAGCTGAATAGAAAGTTTGACTTTCAAATATAAAACCCGAGAAGCATGAAAAGGTACACAAGAAAGAGAAATCAGAAGAGACTCAATAAGGTCAGACTGCTTACTTTTCTGTATGGGAAGAGGATGCATGTGCCTTCTAAGAATTTTATCATTTTTAGGTCAGTTAGAAGGATTCTACATAGAAAGAGGGTGTGAGAGTAAATTAGTTATGTTGGAATGATGTAAAGAAAATGGATAGGTGAGAAAAAGGGATGTGAGAAAGCAGGGCAACGGAGGGGAAAAATGGGGAAACTTATCTCACGTAAAAGAGATATGCAGGGAAGAGCTTTTACAGTGGCTGAGGGGTGGTAAGGAAGCAACACTTGAACCTCACATCTGAATTGGTTCAAAGAGAAGAACTATATCCATGTACTCAATTGATAATAGAAATCTATTTTACCTAATATGAAAGCATGAAAAGAAGGGGATAAGAGAAAGTGGGGTGTGTGTGTGTGTGTGTGTGTGTGTGACAAAATGGAGGGCAGATAAAAGAGGGCAGTAGTTAGAAGCAAAACAGACTTTAAAGGTGGGACCAGACAAGAGAGAGAGAGAAGGATAAACAGAAGAAAATAAGATAAAGGAAAAGGCACAGGTAGTAATCATAACTGTGAATGTGAATGGGATAAACTTACCTATAAAACAGAAGTGCATAGCAGAATGGATTAGAAATCAGAACCCAACAAAACGTTGTTTACAAGAAATACACTTGAAAGAGAGAGACACACAGAGTTAAAATCAGGGTTTGTGACAAAATCTATTATGCTTTAGTTAAAGTAGGAAAAGCAGGGGTAACAACCATGATCTCAGACAGAGCAAAGTAAAAATAGACCTAATTGAAAGGGATAAACAGGGAACAGGGAAACCACATCTTGCTAAAAGGAACCACAGACAATGAAGTAATATCAATATTAGTCATGCATCAAATGGCATTGCATTCAAATTCTTAAAGGAAAAGTTAAATGAATTATAGGAGGAAATAGACAATAAAACTGTACTAGTGAGAGATCTCAACTTCTCCCTCTCAGAGCCAGATAAATCTAATCATAAAATAGATAAAAAAGAAGGAAGATAAATAAAATATTAGAAAAGATAGATGTGATAGACCTCTGGAAAAAATGAACAGGAGTAGAAAAGAGTATACCTTTTTGTCAACTGTACATGGTGCCTTTGCAAAAATTTACCATACATTGAGGCATAAAAACCTCACAATCAAATGCAGAAAAGCAAAAATATTAAATGCAATTTTCAGACGATAATGCAATAAAAATTACATTTAATGAAGGGCCACAGAAACATAGATTAAAAATTAATTGGAAACTAAATAATCTAATCCTTAAGAATGAGTGGGATAAAAGAGCAAATCATAGAAAGAATAAATTTGTTAAAGAGAATGAAAACAATGAAACAACATAACAAAACTTGTGGGATGCAGCCAAAGCAGTACTTAGAGGAAAATTTGTATCTTTAAATGTTTACGTCAATAAAAGAGAGAAAGAGCAGGTCAATGAATTGGCTATTTAATTGTAAGAAACAATTAAAAATCCCCAGTTAAACACCAAAATGGAAATCCTGAAAAATTAAAGGAGAGATTAGCAAAACTGATAATTAAAAAAACCATTGAACTAACAAATAAAACTAAAACCTGGCTTTATGGGAAAAAAAAGACCCCAATAAAATAGATAAATCATTGGTTATTTTGATTTTGGAAAAGAAAGAAGAAAACCAGATTACGATGCTGGTATTAAAAATTAAAGGGGTGAATGCACCACCAATGAAGATGAAATTAAAACAATCATTAGGAGCTATTTTGTATAATTATATGCCAACTAAATTGACAATCTAAGTAGGATGAATATTTACAAAAATATAAACTACCCAGATTAGCAAAAGGGGAAATCAAATCCTTAACAAACTCTGTCTTAGAAAAAGAAATTGAACAAGCCATCAATGAACTCCCTAGGAAAAAAATCCCCAGGACCAGAGGGATCCACAAGTGAATTCTACCAAACATTTAAGAAACAAAAAATCCCAATACCATATAAACTATTTTTTAAAAATAGGTGAAGGAATCCTACCAAATAATTTTATGACACAAACATGGTTTTGATACCTAAACCAGGGACAGCAAAAACAGAGAAAGAGTGCTATAGACCAATTACCTTAATGAATATTGACACAAAATTTTTAAATAAAATACTAGCAAGTAGATTACAGCAATATATCACAAAGATCATATATTGTGACCAGATAGGCTTTATACTAAGAATGCAGAACTGGTTCAATATTAGGAAAACTATCAGCATAATTGACCACATCAATAACAAAACAACAACAAATACTGTGTAATTATATCAGTAGATGCAAAAAAGCTTTTCAACAAAATACAACACCCATTGCCATTAAAAACACTACAAAGCACAGGGATAAATGGATCCTTTCTTAAAATGATAAGTCAAGTCATATCTATCTAATACAAAGTGCAAACATTATCTGTAATGGGGATAAAATTGAAGCCTTCCCAATAAGATCAGGAATGAAGCAAGAATGTCCATAATTACCAAAATTTTCAATTGTGTGCTAGACATGACAGCTATAGCATAAGACAAGAAAAAGAAATTAAAGTAATAAGAGGCAAGGAGGAAACGAAACTATCACCCTTTGCAGATGATATGATAATATACTTAGAGAACCTTGTAAAATCAACTAAAAAACTAGTTGAAACAATTAACAACTTTAGCAAAGTTGCAGGCTATACAATAAATCCACATAAATTATTCGCATTTATTTTTGTTATTGTTCAGTTGTTTTTCAGGAGTGTCTGACTCTTTGTCACCCTGTTTGGGGTTTTCTTGGCAAAGATACTGAAGTAGTTTGCCATTTCCTTCTCCAGCTCATTTTACAGATAAGGAACTGAGGCAAACAGGGTTAAATGACTTGCCCAGGGTTACACTGCTAGTAAATGTCTGAGGTCAGATTTGACTTCAGGAAAACGAATCTTCCTAACTCAAGACTTGGCATTCTATCCACTGTACCACCTTGCTACCCCTAGCATTTCTATGTATTACCAACAAAACCCAGCAAGAAGAGATAGAAAGAGAAATTCCATTCAAAATTCCTGCAGACAATATAAAATAAATGGGAGTATACCTGCCAAGACAAATCCAGGGATTATATGAAGACACAAAACAATTTTCACAGAAATAAAGACAGATCTTAGTAATCTGAGAAATATTAATTGTTCATATGTAGGCTGAGCCAACATAATAAAAATGAAAATTCCATCTAAATTATTTACTCATTCAGTGCCATACCAATGAATCTACCAAAGAATAATTTTATAGATCTAGAAAA